ATCATCTGTGCTTTGACATTCTTAAATCATGTCATCAGAATCTAATTTAACTCTACAAAGTAAATGCAAGCTGACTGGCCTTTAGTAAACCACACAAACAAAACATGCCATGAGGGTACACTGAGTTTTGAGGTGAAGATACCCAATTCTAGACTAAGAACAAGGCGGAGGTAAGCAACCAGCATCACCCTCTAGTCACTTTATCCAATTTACTAGACAGGATAGATTGGCTCCAGAGCCAGCATGGATGTGCTGGCAAAGACAAAAATATGTGCATTTTATACAACATTATTAAATAAACATCTGAATAAATTAGAGCAGAAAATTATAGCTCATAAACAAGGCAGCTCATTCACCTCCATAAAATCATGTGGAAAGTACAGAAAAAATTATATTATTACTATCCCCCCACTTAATGGTACCTACACCTTGTCTTGGTGGTGGGGCTTGAGTACCTCAGTGACCCCAAGAGCTACTGGTAGGGCCACCCTAGCCTGATTGGTCGAGGGGGAGAGGTCAGACTAAGACAGGTACCCTGGTCCTCCAGGTTGGGGGTTGGTTGCAAGGCTAACAACCTTGCACCGTAAAAAGGAATATGTTTCGAAACCTCAATCAAAGCCTCGGACAGACGGACCAGAGGATAGGACCGAATGGAAGAGTAGAATTCAGGAGGCCATGGACCGAATATGGACCAGAGAGCCACAAAGAAGATTATTAATATCCACATGAAGATTATAGTAAAACTTTGATTGTATGCATTGGGTTTTACATTTTATGTAATTTCACATACTTTTTGAATGGTCCCAGCCAAATTCCCGTAAGACCAATGTTAAATTTTAACTAATTTTACATTTCCACAACTTTACGTATTTCCTGAATTTGCACTTCATTTTTCTTGTCCTGACTATGGAAATTTACCTGGTTTTACATTTCATATTTCAGTTCTCAGAAATAGATTCCTTCCCTGTCAGCAATCAGGAATGGTTGTGTCTAATAGCCCAGTGCACACTTACACTTTCAATTGGCTCATACATGGCTGTTTTTTTGTTATTCCTTTAATTTGCTTACGGTTAACAAACCCATAAAACATTCTATAGACAGCCATTTGTCAATCAAACTTTCATCCCTTTACATGCCACTAATAGTCTCTTCTGCAGTGTGATTCACATTTTACAAATTTGTGAAAGGGGCCGTGGCATGTTATGCAGAAAGGCAAAAGACCGAACCTTCATTTTTTTCCTTATGACATCGTAATCATAATAGCGGCAGTGACGCTAGAAAGAGAAGTTCATGTGGTAACATAGATTGAAAATTACATAATTTTGGATTAATAATATTATTGGTTATCTCCTCTCCCCTCCATTAACCCAAATAATAATTTAGTATATCATGTCCAGAATCTTTGTTTAAAAGAGCCTAAACTGCAGAATGGAGAAAATATCATATTTCTGGTACACAACAAACTGTGACGTATGAGACGTGAGATTCTCATAATGGCGAAGAAGTCAATGATGATCTTTTGGTTGTGATGCTGTCCGGAATTGTAACACGGTATCAAAATTTCAGATAAACGTATTGCCTTAATTTTCAGGGTTGAATGTTGTACTCACCTATAGGTCATGGAATCACAACCTGTAAGACCACAACAGGCAACACACTGTGATACTTACCATGATATTTACCATGGATCCTGTGGCAACAGCTTCTTCAACAGCCGCTTCTACTTGATCAAGTACCTGTGGGCCTAAAGCACATGTTGGTAGCAGCAAAAGCTTCTCATTTGGGAAGTGTCTGCGGACAAACAGCTGATGGTCCTGGATACCCAATCTTACTAAAGCATCATATTCTGTAAACAAGTTTATTACAAACACTTATTAATGTAATTTACCTTAACTCAGGAAAACATACCATAGAAACTGTATACAAGAAGAATTATGCAAGATTATATAAGATTTTCCACCATTGCACTTTTTCAGAGGACCTGCTATAATGCTAATTTATATACCACATTGTAATTATCCTTTTGATTTATTTTATTTTAACCTTTATCATATCAGAATAGAGGCTTTAAAAGTTTGTACCACAGGGCTGCTGTCCATCTTCAACTTGGGGTGACCATTTTAAAATGTC